CTGAGTTATTTGATAAAAAAGAATATATTAATCTATCATCAAAAATATTTTTTAACCATCTGTCAGCAGATAAGCAATTAAGTCACCTGTAAATTTTATTGAAAGTAAAGACCACAGCCGAAACCAGTTTGGCTCAGTGGATAGAGCATCGGTCTGCGGACTGAAGGGTCCCAGGTTCGATTCCGGTCAAGGGCATGTACATTGGTGGTGGGCACATCCCTGTTAGGGGGTGTGCAAGAGGCAGCTGGTCGATGTTTCTCTCTCATCGATGTTTCTAGCTCTCTGTCCCTCTCCCTTCCACTCTGTAAAAACTCAATAAAATATATTTAAAAAAAAGAAAAAAAGAAAGAAAGTAAAGACCACAGTGCTAAAGAAATATCTTAGGGTGTCAGGCATAGGCATTGGTAGTAGCACATTTGAGCTTGATGACTGGATATTCCATCTGCCATGTGCATGCAACCCATAAGAGGGGGCAGTTGTGTTCATTTAGGGCTGAACTTGTGCCAGGTGTAGGTTAACTAAAGTTCATAAGCAGTATGAAATAATAAGTGGCAGAATCTAAGCTGGACAAGGAAAATGGTGAAAGAAGACCACTGATGAAGTGAGGAAATGTGGAGGGGAGACAGTAAAGGGAGGACTTTTTACGATGGAAGATTGGTTGGAGTAGTTGAAATGACAAATAGGTAAAAGAAGAAATTGTGATTTGGGAGTTTTAGAGGTAGAGCAGTTATCATGTGAAGTTCAAGAACTTCATTTGTTCAGGAACAAATGACTGAAGATGAATTCGTGGGAGTAGCTGGCCATGGTTTCAAAAGGCTTGTCCAGGTTGATATAAGGAGGAGAGAGCGGGGTGTGGAATGGAGAGAAAGAGTGTGAGGAAGACATCAACAGATTTGAAGATTGAGAGAAAGGTTGGTAAAGGAGAACAACAAAAAGAGAGGAAAGATGTTTTTGAAAGCTGAAAGGGGCAGGTCTTAGAGGAGCCTTCTTTGTTTACTGTGGGGGCTGTTTCTCTGTTTTTCCGCAACCAGCAAGGAAAACCACAGGTTCCTGAATGGAGGAGCTGGGGATTAAGAAATTAAAGAAAAAAAGAGACCAAGAGGCAGAAATAGATTCATCAAGCTGGGTGCTGGGTGGGAGGCTGTCACTCTGATAGAGGGACATATAACCACCCACCACAGACAACACAGCACATTTATTTATTTCCAAAAGAATAGAGGGAGGTTTCCTGAAAAGCTTAGAATCAAAAGAGTTATGGGTGTGCCCAGGTCCTATTCATTTCCCCATTCCTGGGATTTAGCATATCAAGACCTGGATAAATCAAGGTCCTATTTGTTCCTCATTCCAAGCACGTGGATAAAGATAGGAAATCTGGTACTGATAATTGTCTCCAACATTTTGGGGAAACATGTTCCCAGGGCATGGCTCTGCCTATGCCTTGAGTTCAGCTGACATTAATTTAAAGGTCATCCATGTGCATTTCCAGGGGGCCCTCTATAGTTTACAAGAAGCTGAAGGAAAAATGGTTTGGAAATGGCCATGGGGGGTACCAAAGGCATCAAACTCATTCCCTGAGCCTGGTGTCTGAATACCTGCCATTTGAGAAGCACAGGGGAAGCCATGTCCTTGGGGTAGAGCCCTAGCTACCAGGAGGGAGGAACTTAGCACATACTGAACGGATAGAGGAGTTTGGTGCTTATGAGGGGTAGTAACAAGAGGTTACAGTGAAGGGTTTTGGTAAGTGGAGAGGGGTGGGAGGGAGCTCAGTCAGAGACAAGGAACACAGAACCTTAATGAAAATGATGATACAGATCAAGATCCCTGGTGTATAAGCTAGGAGCAGGTGAATTCCAGCTTGAGTGTCAACTGAAGATAACAGTAAAGAGGGTGGGTGGGTTTATTCCAGCTGTCTTTTTTTTTTTTTTTTTTTTTTTTTTTTTTTTTTTTTTTAGAAAGAGAGAGAGAAATATCAATGATGAGAGAGAAACATTGATTGGCTGCCTCCTGCATGCCTCCTACTGGGGATCAAGCCCACAACCCCGGGCATGTGCCCTTGGCTGGAATCAAACCCAGGACCCTTCAGTCCACAGGTCAAAAGCTCTATCCACAGAACCAAACCAGATAGGGCTATTCCAGCAGCAGTCTTTAAGGAGTTGGGTTCTTGCCTAACTACTAAAAAATGTGTTATACCTTGATAGAAGATGTGTCTTGCTTGGTCAGAATAATTGAGGCTTATATGTTGCAGACATGATGAATTATTATTTTAATATACTTTTGCCTTTTATTGCCAATATATCATTGAGATTATTTTTGCACCCATATTATTAAATAACAAATGGCATTGGCTTGTAATTTTCACTCTCTTTGTATGTATGTATGTATGTGTATATGTATACGTTGCACGTGCTTTGTCATGTTTTGTTATGAGGATTATGCTAGCTTTGTAAAATTAGAGGTCCACACTCTGGGGCTCTTTACCTGGCACAGACATTATCTGTTCTCTGTTGGCTGGAAAGAACTTGGCTAAGAAATTCTCTGACTGAGTGCTGTCCAAGGCAGTGTATTAAGCACTTGAAATGTGGCTAGTGAGACCAATGAACTAACTTTTCTATTTATTTTAATTTTTAGTTTAATTTTACATTTAAAAAGTGATACTCATCTCAGTTTTGAAAAACTTTTAAGTGTTTTTGGAACAACCTATGTATGTGAGTCTACTTTTTGTAAATTATATAAAATCTAAATATATAAAATATTTCTCATGAAAATTTAGCAACTCAGTTGAAATATACTTTAAATGTAAAATACATCTGGGAATTTAAAGGCAGAATGCCCTCTCCCAAATAAAATGAATAATTTTTATATTGATTTCAATTTGATATGATACTCTTTTACCATGGCCATCTATGTTGTTTAATAAAACATAGCATTAAAACTAATTTTACCTGTTCTGTCTCACATATTTAGTGTGGCTGCTAGAAAATTTAAAGTTATAGATGCATTTTGTTCTGAACCATATGATTTCCTAAAGAGTTAGTAAAACTTTTTCAGATTTTTCTAAAGCTAGTGGTACATTCAGTTTTTCTATCTCTCCAGAACAAATTTTGATAATTTATATTTTTCTCAAAAACATTTACCTCAAATATATTTTTAAATGTGGGAATATAGTGTTTTACAAATATTTTATTATTGATTGATTGCTTTAATGCTAAATCAGGTCTGAGACATATTAACAAGTTCTGTTTTTATGGCCCATTCTTTTCCATGCTTTGGAACTCTTTACCTAGCACAGATTTTATCTGTTCTTTGTTAGCTGTTTTCATTAATTATGTATTTGCTTTGATATTTATTTATTCTAGTATATTTTTTGAATCATCAAATTATTTTTCCTTATATGTAGGCATTACATCTTCATTTTGCTTTTAAAAATATTCTAATTTTTTTTTTAAAAAAAGAATATCTTCAATGAATTCGAAAGTTTATTTTCAGTTCCATAAACAATTATTTTTGAAGTATATTGCCTTGCTTCTAATTAACTAGATGCATTTTATCTATAGTTTTTTTTCTTTGTTTTGTTTTGTTTTTAGTATTTCATGCTCCATGAAATGTTTTGGTTTTTTTTTTTTTTTCCTTCACAACATAACATTTAAAAATGAAACAGGGTATTGTCTGCATATATGTTTCATTGTCCTTTGTCCTTTCTTGCTTTGCAATCTATTTTTACAGAGAAAGCAATCACACTATACTTGAAAAATGATCAACAGTAGGTATAATGTTTCTAAAATTTAACATGTTCCAAGGATGTGCTAACTTGTTTGCTCAAATGTTCATATTTAGGCCTCACAATAGCCTTGTGAAATGTGTGCTGGTGTTATCTCCTGTTTGCAAAACTAAGAGATCCATTGAGGTTTCCCAGCTGTGGCCCATGGGCTTCAGACCTCATAAGTGTAACAGGAAAGATCACTCTTTCTGTGTCTCAAACACAGTATGAGAAGAACATAGCAGACGTCTAGTATCAGAACAACATAGTTCCTGCTAAGACTCAATTGTCAGACAATCATGAACAGTTATATTCAGTGTTAATAAATTGCCCAATGATATGCTACTAAGGTACTCTGGACTTTAGTTTCCCACAATATCCTAACAAAAATCTTTCAGTCATCTGTAATGAGATATACCTTCTATAAACAATTGTTTTCTGTAATAATTTTCAGGGATGGGAAAGAAAAAAATATCAATTTGCTATTTAAAAAATGTTTTTATTGATTTTAGAGAGGAAGGGACTGGGTGGGGAGAGAGAGAGAGAGAGAGAGAGAGAGAGAGAGAGAGAGAGAGAGAGAGGTAAATGTGAGGGAGAGACATTGATCTATTGCCAACAACTAGAATCAAACTCACAACCTGACAATGTGTCCTGACCAGGAATTGAACCAGCCACTTTTGGTGCATTGGGGGCACTCAACCAGTGGAACCACACCACCCAGGGCCCAATTAGCCATTTTTCATACCCTTTATCTCCAAATTAGAATTTTGAAGCCAAACTCATATCTGTAGAATGGTAGAGAAGAAGAAATATCATGCAATTTACTTCTTTGGGCAAGCAAAGGCAAACACCTGCCATTTTGCCTGTAAACTAAAGCCTATTTGGTATCAACTACCTTTTAAAATTAATTCAGCTATAGCTGAAACCGGTTTGGCTCAGTGGATAGAGCATCAGCCTGTGGACTGAAAGGTCCCAGGTTGGATTCCGGTCAAGGGCATGTACCTTGGTTCTTGGTTGCGGACACATCCCCAGTAGGGAATGTGCAAGAGGCAGCTGATCAATGATTCTCTCTCATCGATGTTTCTAACTCTCTATCCCTCTTCCTCTCTGTAAAAAAAATCAATAAAAAATAAAATAAAATAACGCAGCTATAGTGTAGTCTCTTTTAAAAAAGGTTTAGATATTTAGTAGTGATGAATGATGTTTCATTAATTTGTAATTCTTTCCTTTCTTTCTTTTAAAGATAGTGTTTTTAGAAGAAGCATCTCAGCAAGAAAAGCTGGCCAAAGAATGGGGCTTCAAGCCGGGTGAGATAAGAGAACTGAGCCCACAGTAAGTCATAGCAACTTCTTCCCTTTTGTGGATGCCATTAACTCATCTCAAATGATAAGAAAACTGCCTTGATCTTGATCGACAAAGAGGCTTTTTTATTTGTTTAAGGTTGAGGTGGGAAGGGGACGTAAATGGAGAACAGGGACAGAAGCTTTGACTATTACTGTGTTTCCCTGAAAATAAGACATCCCCTGAAAATAAGACCTAACACAACTTTGGGAGAAAAAAATTAATATAAGACACTGTCTTATTTTCGGGGAAACAGGGTAGCGGCTGCCATCTTTCCTTTACTTCTTTGGCACATATTTGTTGAGCGTAGTATGTGCAAGAACTGGGATTCGAAGGTGAAAATGGTATATAAAGTCTTTCCTTGCAGGGTTTACAGCCCTTTACAACCCCAGGAGAACATAGAACATAAACAAGTGCACAGATACGGAAGCATGGTGGTGCTGGCTTGTGAATCTTCTATAAAGGAAACAAAGGAAAAGCATGATAGAGATCATTGTTGGGAGGATAGAAGGGAGGTTTGGGGAGCAATAATTCTGACAGCATGGTTAGTTAGGTGAGGCTAGCTCTAAAAATGCATTTTAGCTACGATTTCATATTTCAATTATTTTTAGTAGTTTTTAAAAATATATATATTTTATTGGTTTTTTTACAGAGAGGAAGAGAGAGGGATAGAGAGTTAGAAACATCGATGAGAGAGAATCATCCATCAGCTGCCTCTTGCACACCCCCTACTGGGGATGTGCCCGCAATCAAGGTACATGCCCTTGACCAGAATTGAACCTGGGACCTTTCAGTCCGCAGGCCGACGCTCTATCCACTGAGCCAAAGCGGTTTCAGCTATGTACTTTTAGTAGTTTTAAGTAATTTGTTCAAAACGTGTTTCTTGTGATTGCCCACATTCTACGTAGCCAACTTGATTTGTTTTATGGAAATGGAGATACTTTTTCTTTTTTAATGCAACAATTTAGTCTTGTGTCAGGCCACATATATTTCCAAAGTCAGTGAAAGTTCCCATGTCAATCAAAATCATTTTCATTCTAAAGACATCTTAACTTGGGAAGTGACTTTGGAGTAATGTAATGAGAAGAACACTGAAGTAGGAATTAGAATATGTGGCGTGAATCCTCATGCTACAGCTTGTGGCTGTTCACTGTAATGCAAGCCACTTCCTTTCTCTGAGCTTGATTCCTAGGCTGTTAGCAAAAGGTTTGTCCTGGGTCACAGTGTCCCCTGCAGCAGATCTATGAATTGTGCTATCCCTAAGGCTTTAAGGCAGAGGGGCTGACCACAGTCTAGAGAGACGGAGGTACCTGGCCATAAAGTTTTGTTACATTTGCATTCATACTCACAGCTCCTACCTCCTTCCCTCTCTCTGCTGCCTTTCTGTTGGCCTGCATGCTTGCAGGCAATGGGCATAGAGATGAATCCAGTGAGCATGGAGATAATTCCAGTGACTTGTACTGTTACCGTCTGCTTTCTGTTGCTAGATTTTCGTGAGAATAAATGCTGAGGAACAAGGCTTGTGTGCCTTGGGATTGAGAGGTTAGAAGAAAGTTGGAAGTGGGTAAGATGGAGGATGGGAGGAGGTGAGAGGATGGTGAAGTGATTGGAGGATGGGGAGGGAGCAAAACACACTTTTGGGTCATCACATTTTTTGTCCCTCCTTATGAGGCTGCTTTTGGAATTAAATTCATTAAAAAAAAAAAAAAAATGAAGGTGCAAAGGAACCTCTAAGCACAAAACACCAATGAGAGGTAAGGTAAGAAAAAAAGTTAAAACTTTGGTGGAAGACTGAAGTCTTTGAAGAAAAATCATATGTAAAATGCAAAGTGATTTCCATATTAAACATGTAAGATATATGCCTTTGAATTTCTTTAAGTCAGTATTAAAATACCACAGAAGATGCTTTCTCTGATCTTCTGTTTCATAGATTATGTGTATCAACAGGTCTATCTAAGCACAATGTGTTTGATTTTTTATTTTTTAAATATATTTTTATTGATTTCAGAGAGGAATAAAGAGGGAGGGAGAGACAGAAACATCAATGACGAGAGAGAACCATTGATTGGCTGCCATCTGCACGCCCCACATTGGGGATCAAGCCCACAACCCAGGCATGTGCCCTGACTGAGAATTGAACCATGATCTCCAGGTTCTTAGGTTGAGCCACGCCAGCCAGGTGCGTGTGTGTTTTTTTTAAATGAAAACTGCAACTTTCATTTTTTAAAATGAAACTGCAGTTTTTTAAACTGCAACTCTGAGCAGTGCGTTGGTAGGAGTGGTTCGGATTGTGGCCACGGACCATAGAGCGGTTGGCAGGGCCAAGATTAGGGTGAGACGAGTGAGGCGCTTACCCGGGCACAGCATTTGTGGAGGGTGGGGTAGGCAAAAACTCAGTAATCAACATAAATAACAGTTTCATGCAATATTTTTAAAAATCAAAATTAATGCAAAGAAATCGGTGATGAACAAAATGCCAAAATTTTAAATAAAGACAGGGATGTTGTTGGTTTTCTATCCTTGTATTTTTTATGTGCAAGAAAAGAGTGGTTTTCAAACAGCCCTGTGCTCCCACAGCCGGTTAACAATGTTGTTCAAAGAGACTGAGTAACTCGGGTCTTTATAGACAGTCGTATGTTTTAATTCTAAAGCTTTTATTAAGGTTTTCCACTTGGTTAGAAGACAGGTGGATGTTTCAATAAGGATATGTAGGGCATACATTGTTCTATTGCCTTCGGTTCTGAGACAGCCTGGCTGGCACTACAGGTTTGAAGTAGGAAATTGATGTTCTTTTCTGGTGGAAGTTGAGATTTTCTAAGGGAATTATGATAGTGATTAAGTCAAGTGAAAAGAGGAAAGAAGAAAGGAAAGCTTTTCACCTTTTCTGCTTCACCTTCAAAGCCTCATCTCTGCTTTGCCTGCAGCTTAACTTTTGATGGCTATGATTCAGCTGTAAGTAAGGTCTGGGGTGGAGAACTGAGTTCTAATCCCAGTTGGACCATTAACAAACTGCACATCCAAAAATGACCTTGGCACTTCCTGGAAGATGGCAGCAAGGTAAACACTTGTACGTGTTGCCTCTCACAACCACATCAGTGCTGCAACTGGGGATCTTACCTGAGACCTGAAAAAACCACCACTGTGGGGGCCCCGACCGGTGCGGACACGCAGATTCCACAGAAAGGTTGGATTTTGCCGGGGATAATGTGGGGTGTCTGTGTCCCAACAGCAAAAGCTGCAGCTGAGGAGGCAGAGGCAAAAGCGTGCTTGCGCATGGGACCGCGGAAATCTGTGTCCACAAAAGCCCCCTGCTGGTGGGTCTGGCTTGATTCGAGAGAGTGGCTGGGGGTCCCCAAGGTTTCTAATAGTGGGGTTCTCTAGGGAGCAACCCATGCTGATCCAACACGGAGGGAGAACATAGGAGTTGGAAAGCAGTCTGTTTGTAAGTGCACGCAGACTGGCCCATCATGCACTTAGGCTGGTTCCCCTGCAACCCCTTGCTTCTGATTACAAAGGAGAGAGCACCCAGATTGGCTGGCCCTAAGAGACAGCAGGAGGAAACTGCTTTTCTGGAAGCTGAGAAGCAGAGCAGGGAGAAATCACCCAGGATTCAGCTCCGCAGCAAAAAAAACGAAACACAAAAAACAAAAACACAATATTGAGTACCGTAGAAAAAGAAGGCTAGAGCAGCCTAAAAGACAGGGACATCAATCCACCTAGGGGCTGGAGTACAAACCAACTGTGTTTATTACTAGTTTTATTTGATCAAAAACCAAGAAACTAAGGAATCGCCACTGAGGTGCAGCAGAACGCAGGGAACTGCAATACTGTCTGGACTGAGAAACAGGCGTGCCAAACAGAATAACAGAAGAAGTGCATTCACAACTGCACACTTTTTTTTTGCTAAATTTTTTATTTTCATTTTTTGCATCTTTTACTTAAGAAACAAATTTTTTCCTTTTTTCCTCACTTGATTTTAACTTTTTAATTATTACATTTTTAGGTTCAATCAGCATTATTACTACTGCTATTGTCATTTTATTTTCTCTTTATTTTACATTGGAATTACTGTTCTTAATTTTATTTTCATTTCTCCTTTAACATTGTTTAACCCTATCTCAACACGACCTTTACAACATCACTCTCTTTCTAACCGTCCCCCTTTTGCTATCCGGTTTATCTTAACCCTTTCCTGCTTTAAATTTTCCCTACTATTTCTGTCTCCTCCCTGCTAAAATTTATAACCTACTTACATATCTAATTTCCAATCCCCTGTGCCAAGTGCATACACACCCCTCTCTGAGCTATATTAACTAGCAAAAAAAAAAAAAAATTGTTTTACTCACTGTCTTTTTGATGCTGTTTGGGAGAATGTTGATTATATGGTATTTTTATGCTTTTTAGTGAGAGTATTTTGCTTATTCTTTTGTTGTTGCTGTTGCTTGGTATTTTCTTATTTGATTGTTTTTTTTTTTGTTTGTTTTTTTTTTACTTTTGTTTTCCCTTCCTTTGCTGGAAATTAGGGGGTGTTGTAGATTGTATTATTCTCCAGGTACTGTTGACAGCATTTTCTGGGGTTAGTGGTTGTTCAATTGAAATTCTCTCCATATATATATATATATATATATATATATATATATAGTTTATTCCCCTTTTATCTCTCTCTCTCTCTCTCTCTCTCTCTCTCTCTCTCTCTCTCTCTCTCTCTCTTCTCTCTGTTTCCCAATTTCATTTTGACACTCCATATATATATATATATATATATATATATATATATATATATATATCTTTTTCCTATCTTTTTCTTTTGCTCCCTCCCTCTTCTCTTTTTACTCTTCCTCTTTCTCTCCTATCCCCTAATTTGCCTTTCCCTAGTGGTCACCTTTATTGGAGGTTATTAATATCGCTAATACATTTCTGTTCAATGCCTTGTGTGTTGTACCTGGTTGTGTTGTATTTTGTGCCTTTAAATCAACGCAGGAGAGAGAGAT